TAGTCACTAGCGGGTTTACTGCTGGCAGTGCAATTCTTAAATATATTACGTCTTGGTAAGTAATCATAACAAACAAATATACAGTATATACAATTTTAATTAAAATTGTAATCATAAAAATAATTAAAAATTTGAAAAAATAAAATTTAAAAAGTTTGGTCCCTGTGGCAGTGTACCTTTAACGCTAACAGCATTTCCTCGCTCTACTGCGATACTTTTTTATTTACACTTCGTTACATTATACAAAAACATACATATATAAAAGCAGGTTACATAAGTTATTAGGCAACGGGCGGCCTTCTAGGCGATGTCTTCCAGGCATCCCTTATATGGAACAATACAAAAGAAACACCTACAGAGGGTAAAGGTAAAGAAGTGCATAAATAATTAACAAAAAACTCAAACTCATAATAACATATTTGGTTGGTAATACATAGTTAGTTAGTTAGTAAAATTCGTTTTATGAACGACGAACATCGTGCCTTTAGAGCAAATTGTATGCACATTTGAAACTATACCCCCACTAATTTGTTGCGGTGTATTTTCATTTTACAATTGCGATCAAAGGATCGATAATAAGCCAGCAATGCCAATAATGAGATTGCGAAGGGAGCTTTAATTGTGTGAAGAACGACGTCCGGCATCGTTTCCATTCATTTTCCATTGGTCCGTTGTTTTTCTCATGCGTGATGCAATTGCGGATGCTACGTTTAATTATTATTAGAACAGGAATCATTTAACACTTTTTTATATAACAATGGCGCGTGAACTTTGAACATGATTAATTGTTACTTGTTTGTTTGTCACTTAAATGCAATCAAGAAATTTTAAGAGCCTTCGGGGTGCTGTAAAAATTCTACCTATTCTTTAAGAAAGCCCTTAAATCTATGTAAGGATGTACCTTCGGGTGTCGCTCTAACCTACCTATTCGATCAACTAGATAATATAGCTGTTAGTAATAGGTAGCGCGCCTTTGTCGGTGTCCGGCATATGTCTTAGCAGTAGTACAATTACTGTATAATTAATACTACGACCAGAAATCGAACACGTTACAACCCGTTTACAGCTTGGAGCAATCAAGAATATTTATTTTTAGTTTTGCAATAAATTTGCAGATAAACACAATAAACTTACATTATTTACGTGATGTTTGTGGAGAGCACTTAGCAGCGAGATACATAAATAGTTATTTTCTATAAATGAAAAAAAATAACAAACACATACACAGAAACACATGTACGTAGATACACCAACATTTTAAGTATCCTAGTTTACATATTCATGGCAATTCTTTGTTATTACATACTTTTGGTTTTGTATTTTTTATAAAAGCTGTTATAAATATTAGAAATGTAATTCCAACACACAAGTATAGTGTTTACAATATTCTTAACCTACATAGTAATAATAATAAATAAAAAAATAATAAATAGAAAAGAAAAATACTGTTTAAATATGATATTGAATTTTAAAAAAAAATCTTTAGGTCTTGGTCTGTTTCATGATAATTTTTAAATCTAATAGGCAAGTAGGTGATCAGCCTCCAGTGCCTGACACACGCCGTCGACTTTTTGGGTCTAAGACATGTCGGTTTCCTCACGATGTTTTCTTTCACCGTTCGAGCAATTGTAGATGCGCACATAGAAAGAAAGTCCATTGGTGCACAACCGGGGATCGAACCTACGACCTCATGTATGAGAGTCGCACGCTGAAGCCACTAGGCCAACACTGCTCTGAATTTGAAACCGTCTGAAAAAACAAAATCCATAGATAAAAAAAAATATGGTTGTAACAATGAAACTTCGTTTTAATTTAAAAGACTCAATCACATAGGCTATATTTCCAAAATTAACGTCTTAACTTAACGTTTAACGTCCACCAAGCCGCAATAAAACCTACATAATATGTTTATCTGTACATCTCTGAAGCTTGAAGAACATCGCGAAATATGCGCTGTGCAATTGTAGAAAGCCCGAGACCTTGGCAATAGCCTTGTGTGAAAAACGAACGTGGACGAGGAAGTACCAACGCATTGTTTTAGCAAACACGGAACTTAAACTGCTAAGATCATATTATTTTTTTATGATGTATGTATACCTAATATTTAATGTGTGTTTATATATAATTATTTTTATAGAACAGCAAACTGGCAGGCTCATCTGGTGTTAAGTGACATCGCGAATGCGTTGCCGGTCTATTAAGAATTGTACTCTCGACGGACCTTAAGTCGTGGTTATATTTTGTAAAGGACCGTTGGATCTGTAGTTTTTTCGTATATGTATCTAACTGTCGTGTGTTTCTTTCTATTATTTTTTTATAGGATTTGGGGATAATCGCAACCCATTTTAATAACAATAATAAATCATTTTTTTGCAAGAAAGTTGTACATTTAGATAGGTCAATTATAAAATCCGCACAATGAGCCGTATAAAAGAAGGCATGCAAATGTCATATTAATTTTCATAAGGTCATATAATAAGAACATCAACAGAATGTCATAATGTAGCTATTTATAATTGTTGTCATGTCTTATGGTCCAAAAAGTATTTTTAGGGTTTGTTTCACAATGTATGGATAAAGTACCAAATAGCTATGCAACACATAAACTATTTGGAAGATAAATTGTGCTATTTGACACTTCATCGGACTCATACCTTATGATGGACTTTATGTGACGAATAGCGCTATCTGACAGTCGTGAAACGCAACAATAGTGTTTATCCTACCAATAAGTAATAAATAGCTAATTTGGAAATTATGTAGAACTTATCCGTACATTGTGAAACAGACCCTTAAGCTGCTGGCTTGGATTGTCTTTGTATATAGAACAAGTGAAATTGTTTTTGAGATGTCAAATTTGCATTACCGGCCGGGAATATACCTTCTTATTACACACTAGTAGACTCGGCCAAGCGTTGCTGTGGCTAAGATTTTTGTTATATTACATAGTTGTAAACTATTCAAGAGAAAAGGCAGGAGAACACCAATCCACCATGCTTTTTTGGTGGTTATGCCATTAAATTGTAGCTTATGTGAAACGTTGGTAATTATTTTGATAAGGATCAATACCTAGGTACGAATAAAGAGCCTTTTATAGCGGTGGTATTTTAATTAAAAAAAATTAATCAAAGGACGCTTATTGTGACGTAACTATAAAATATAGAGACATGCTGTCGCGACATTTTTTATAGATAGTGATGTGTCCTAAAAAAATGTGATACATCATTTTGTTCTATCATTAATAGTTTTCGCAGCGCACACGATTGAAGGAAGTTTTTTGTTTATTTTTTTACACCTTGGGTTAGATTATTCAAGTTTTAGTAAGTATCCCTATTTTTTTTGAAAATGAAATATAGCCTATGTCACTCGGGAATAGTGTAGCTTGCATACGGTGAAAGAATTTCAGAATCGGTCCAGTAGTTTCGGAGCCTATTCATTTCAAACAAACCAAAAATCAAACCTTTCCTCTTTATAATATTAGTATAGAAATAGAGGTCGTATTTCCCAGGAAAGACCTCTATCTGGAGTCGATTCCTGTGGAAAAAATCACAAATTTGTAATCATGTCAACGTTGTTTATTAACTCTCAATTCCGATGTCTAGAGTTAACATCTTTGCTCGACCAGTGCGTATATGTTTTGTGGGTTATTATGGTTATCTGAAGCATCGTGAGGAAACCGATATGTCTTAGGCTGACATTCATAAACTAGTCAAGAATGTATTAGACATTCTTGACATTCAAAGGTCATCTTTAGCGCAAAGTTTCGTTTCGTTTCATCCTAATCCAAATATCGACTTACTTTATCGTTTTTTACCGTTTTACTTTTTTATGAAACACTAAAAAGATTTTACTAATAATAAAGCGTTCTTTAAGCGTTGTAGGAAAACGTTCACTCTACTTGATCTTTGTTTGCTTCGCTTGCATAAATAACGAATTCCAATAACAACTGTTTCATAATAAATAATGTTTTTATTTTGTAATCATTACCTGTTTGCACGTGCTTTGAATTTTTGCGATAATTGTAGTCACGGTTAGTAATAGTGTGGATATAATGAAATTTATATTTAATAATACAACAGGAGTGTTGGCAGTGGCAGTGAGCAGTGTTGACCTAGTGGCTTCAGCGTGCGACTCTCATACCTGAGGTCGTAGATTCGATCCCCGACTTTCTTTCTATGTGCGCATTTAACATTTGCTCGAACGGTGAAGGAAAACATCGTGAGGAAACCGACATGTCTTAAACGCAAAAAGTCGACGGCGTGTGTCAGGCACTGGAGGCTGATCACCTACTTGCCTATTACATTTCAAATGATCATGAAACAGATTCAGACCTAAAGAGGTTGTAGCGCCACTGGTTTATTTTTATTTTTTAATACAACAGGAAACATTATTAACGGGCCTGATACGATTAAATAATAGTTATTTAGCTTAATTTCAATTATAATTTGTGTACAAAACAGGTCCAAAGTTTCCACCAAACCTTGGGTGAATCTATTTAAATCACTACTAAATAGCTTAATTAATCATGAATACGATTTATACCATGATCTGTTTTTATGATATAATAATAATATTTTAAAAGCAAGACTTTTGTTAGCAACTTATATTAACTTTAGGTTAATATATGCTTCTTGAACCAATTTGTACTAGACACATACATCAGTATTATAAAACTAGGACTAAAGATAGGTCGGTATATGTTGCCATGGTTACGAGAAGATGGAAATACTGCCTGGCTTGTGTTCTTTTTCACATGAAGAAAATACCCTATTTCTATTAGTTTATATGGAAGTAGTAAGTAGTAGTATTGTACAGCGATGCTACCAGCATTAAAGGTACACTGCCATTTTAAATTTGTTTTAATTTAATATTTATTATTATTTATTTAAGCTTTAATAATGAATCCATACAACAATTGGTTAGTTTACATTTCTCAATATGAGTATTAGTGTATGTTAGTCTAAGTTCTAAAAAATTAAGTTAGATTTTAATTTTCTTTTTTAGTGGTATGGTATTTGTATTGCCCCTTTTAGGGTAAAACCCTCCTCCATAATTTTCCATTTCTCCTCTTTGTCTTGAGCAACATTTTTCCAGTTTGTCCCCGCTAGTTCTGTAACATCAACTGTCCATCTTTTCTTTCGTCGTCCTATACATCTCTGACCAGTAGGTCCAGTCCATTTTGTTATTTCAAGTGACCGACACAATTTTCTACTTATCCAATTTTTGTGTATTTGAATTATTATAATAATAAAGTTTATTTGCCTCTTCACAATATTGCATTTTACGGGTTTATATGCTGCTGGTAATGACGTAGTGAGAGGAGGTCTATAATAGGACTATAGAAGTCCTTTGGTAACAGGTTACCAGCCTTCCATCGCGGTCAGAAAATATACAAAGAGGTGACTACATACTATGACTAAACTAAACAAAATAAACAAAATATAACTTAAGCATGACTGGTTGTGAGTGTGTGAATCTGTGTAAGGATATGTGAATTAAACGTGTGTGAAAGAATTCAATTTAAAGTCCGTCAAATGACTATGGATAACAAATGTTGTTGCATCGTAATTAACGTTTTTTTATAAAGCTAGAAACAGTTATTCTACATTCTTTACTGTAAATATTTAAGGAAGAATTAAGTTTATTGTACAATGGCTGTCATTGTTTATATGAAACTACACATAACAGTTTGTAAATAATATAATAGTTGAGACTTAAGACATCGAGCGACCCATCTTATATTACGCTGACCGCAGCACAACAAAAACAAAATGAGAGAATGTCCTCAATCGTGCGTGTCCTGTTGTAGGGTTTACAACTTCGAAAAAAAGATATATCTTAGTTTAAACGGACATTTAATAACATAAAGTGTGATAAAGTCGAAGTCAAAAATCATTTATTTATATAGGTAACACAATGTACACTTATGAACGTCAAAAAAGAAATATACACTAAATGCTTCTAATTTTACATTTACTGCCAGTTCTCAAATCAAGGGCGTAGAACGGAAGAGAAGAACTGGCAATAAACTCTCCGCCACTTCTTTTTAACGCCAACTTTTTTGTTTTACACAACGTTTGTAAGGAGCTGCAAACATTACACCATGGTGTAAGAGAACATTGCCTATTGCGTGTTAATCAAGTTGAAAAACCATTTTTCTATAGTTTTAGATTTGAGAGTCCTCAAGACGATTTTGTAACTTTAATTACGAATGAGAATGGTAATATGGTATAAAGTTAGAAGTGGAAGATTTAATTGCTGGTATTTTAAACATTACACACATAAACCCACACATCTACTATACGCACAATACACATATATATTATATTAGTTACGGTAGAGCTGGGTCCTGGCTTAAGTAATTTGTATTAACTTAAAAAGGGGTAATATATATATATAATATTAGTTTTTCTTAAAGACAGTTTGTTTTATAAAAAAAACTAATTCCAAAGTTGTAAAAAGTCTTACCTTTAGTACCATTAGCTCAAAGCTATTATTACCATATATCACTATATATTAAAAAAAGCTGGGACGGCCGCAGAGCACACATATAAGGCACAAATATAAGAGTCCAACTTCGATTTTGTTCTCTTTGGAGTAGAGACTCTTGGGCCGTGGGGTTCAAATCCACAGGCGCTTATTAAAGATTCAAGATGAATGGGCGCCTGGTAGATAGTGCCGGTGACCCCTGAGCTGGTGATTTCCTGGCCCAACGAATAAGTATTGCAATACAGCGAGAAAATGCTGCCAGCGTTAAAGGTACACTGGCACAAGAACCAAACTTTTTAAATTTGTTTTTGTTTTAATAATTTTTATTATTACTTTGTAGGTTAAGAAAATTGTAAATACTGTATACTTGATTGTTATCAATAAAACTTAAATACTATATATTTGCGTATATATTATATTACTATCGTTAATAATGTTCAATGCTCACATTGCCTTTATTACCGTATTTACTCACTGGTCACTCTTGAGATTTAACGTCTGACCAGCCCTAGCTACATTTAACCCGTTGCGTGGCGTCGTGCGGGCAGGAAGCCGCAGGACATCCGAGACGTACAGGAAGCGAAACCAGTTCCAAAGGCTTTGTCCAACTCCCGCCACATCGACCCCGTCCGACAACATTCCACCACTCTTGGCTTAAAATCAACGTCGTCAAATTCTCTATGATTGCCGAGCGTATGATGTCATCTTTATATTGCTAGCGGACTTGAGATGTGTCTCACTCGTCTTAAATCTTATCATCTAATTGTTTCCAAACCATTCTCTTAAAACTTAAAAAATTCAACAAAATCGCTCAATGCGTTAACCTCCTTGAGAAGGAGTTATATTACAAATGTGCAGCAAAAGATTAATATATATAATTTTTTATTTAAAAAGAACAAACGACATCAAATGTTTTGAAGCTAAATACGAATTGTATCGGATAATTTAATTATTTATGCTTAGATATGTTTCCCACAGCCTAAACCTTTCCTAAACATCCACAAATGTTTCTATGCTTCATTCAATATTAGAATGCTGTAGGTCTATGGTAAGACAAGAAACATAAACGAAAATTTGCTTTATTTTTTCTTACCCATTCGCATAATGGCGATAATATTTACATGCCCCTAGGGAAGGATTCCTCCTTTTTTGTATTGGGAAATAACATTATTTATGTTTTTGTTTTATTATTTTTTACTAGTATACATGTTTTTCACCGTTTAAACCTTTTCCAACCAGTCCAGCCATTCTCAAGTTTTAGCGAGCCAAACGAATAGCAATAGTTCGCGTGGACTCTGAGCGAGACTTAGCGCTAATGGGAAAATCCCGAATGTTAACATATTGAATTTGACAAACTATAAAAGCAATGTTGGGCTAATGGCTTCAGCGTGCTACTACCGGTCGTAGTTTCTTTATGTCTATAGAACACGATCGTACGATGAAAAAAAAAATTAAATCACCACTTAGCGCACCACTATGGAACCAGCTGCCCACTGAAGTATTTCTGAACCAATTCTACTTAGAGTCCTTCAAGAAAAGGGCGTACCAATTCTTAAAAGGCCGACAACGCACTCGCGCATTCTGGCCTCAAGGCCTCAAGGCCTCTGGCATTGATAGTGTCCATGTGCGGCGGTATCACTTGGCGGTGAGCCTCCTGACTGTTTGTGGGCTAATGTGTTCAGCGTGCGACCTTCTGAGGTCGTAGTTTCTTTCTGTCTACATGTGCTTTTAACACTCGATCGTCTAAAGAAAAACTTGCCTTAAATCCAAAACGTCGGCGTGTAGTTAAAGGAAGGAAAAACATAGCAACGAATGACATCCTCGACCATAAGTTTGCAATTCGAACTTCAATCTTTTCATTTTAAGGTCGTAAACTTTATGTGTGTGAGCAATGTTGGCCTAGTGGTTCAATTCGTGCACCAATGGACTTTCTGTCTGTGCGCATTGAATACACGTACAGAGAAGGAAAACATCGTGAGGAAATTAGATCCTTTTATCCTTATAAACAAATGATCAGGATACAGACACAGAAATCTAAGGCTCAGACCTTAAAGGCCTTAAAGACCTTAAACGTTTTTGCGCAACTATACTGCCCAACTCCTGGAGAAAAACGTGGGAAGACCACAAAAGCGAAGGGCTGACGACATCATGAAGTAGTCTGGAGAGAAATGGATGGAGAAAGCAAAGAACAGATCCAAATGGAAAGTTCCAGAAGTTCCAATAACCAACGTAGACTAACTAACACCTATCTCATTTGTAAATTTAATTTAACTAAGTAACTAGTTTCAGTGTGGTGTAAGATGGTGATTTTATCTCATATTAGGTAACACTATATTATGTAAGCTACTAATAAGTAAATAATTGCTTACCAATTTCACTTATAGTTGAAAGTAAAAATATAATGTAAATCCTTTCTTTTCAAGTCACCAGTGTAAATTTCTTTCGTAAGTTATCTCCTTACTTTATGTATCACTTATACTTTCATAATTTAATTAAATTATAGAAGTATTTAATAGAATGTATTTTTTAAAGTAAAGTACGTTCGTCTCTTCCTGTCAAATTGTGATAAAGTTATGATGAAAAGAGATAGGTGAGGATTTTGCTTAAAACAGTGTATTGATTTTTCATTAATAACAAGGATAAATAAACAGTTGAAAACTATGTTACTGTATTATATAATACTATATATACTAATTGTATTAAAAGGGATACTTAACTTATATATATATTTAAAAGTAATCCCTTTAGGCAAGGTTCCAAAGATACTGGCAGCGTTTCCTCTTTGATATCAACACATTATTATACCACATTTATTTTTGATCCATTTTAATGTTGACACAAATATTGAAATCATTATTGATAAGAAATTTGTTAAAACAATAACAATACTATGTTTAGAAATAATCCGTTCATGTATAATTTCGCAAATTCTTTGGCAAGCGATTATATAATTCAATTGTCACTCGGCCCGCGTAATCGTGGATTCCCTTTTGACATTACAGATCCGTTCGGTCACGATTGTTATTCAAGCAATTCACACGCCGAAATGTATTAACCACATAAGCATACCTATATCACTCAACTCATCATCGTCACTTGGTGATAACTGATAACCAACCAAGAACTGAGCAGATTTGAGCTGAGCGAAGGAACAACTGAACGTCCACACTTCTAAAGCAGCCTAATTAACACTGTATTAATAAAGTACTGATCTTCCCTTTTCATTACAATGTAACTACAATAAGCCAGAAAGAGACAAAAGGGTGCACTGAAACTGATTTAGTTTTATAAAGAGAATTTTTTTGTTATTTTTAGTCGTTGTTATAAAATTAAATTGAAAGAGGCCTTTACCCGTGAAGGGGTTCCGAAGTAGTAGTTCCGGTACTGAAGGTAGCTAGGATATAGGAACAAGCAAAAGAAAAAAAATTATAAAAATGTAAAATAGTCTAAGCTATATATTATAATTTGTTTATGTCATGATTGGAAATAAAACGGGCTTTATTATTATATAAAATTAAAAATACAAAGAAACTCTCCTTAACCAAGAGAAAATTACGCAAGCACCTATTTTCAAATTTATAATTTTATAAATGTTTCGAGGCGAAGCCAAAAATAAACCATGCCGCCGTATGATTAACATCGTCTGCATCACCAAGCGGAAAAGCGTAACTGAAAATAACTAAATGTTTCCGTCTCGTGTTCCGATGGAAACTTAAAGACGATCGGCGCGCGCGCAACTTCCGGTGCGCAAGTAAACATGGCGTCGAAACAACATGGCGCTGCTTCCGGTCGCGCTGATTCACATGACTGCGATGACTTTGGTTTGCTCATTGCATTACTGTCCAATGATTCAGCCTTACGCAACACGTAGGATGTCCACGATCCATTCGCTTCGGAATTTGTCTGGCAATAACTCAAGGCCACTCTGTCGGCTGCTAGTCTGCCCGAAACTAGCAGACTGTTAACATTTGTTTATACCAACGTCAAAAGTTTTCCGAACGGTACAGGAAAAATAAATATAACAGCAATTAATGTTTTCAGAATTAGACTAATGTACCTACTGTTTTTCAGATTCAATAGTTTACGATACGTGTAAGGAAGTGCTCAATCAATATTTGTTTCAAGATGTATCTTACATAACCTTTAACCATAGAAAAAGGCAACACTTAGTTTTATTTTAACGACTTTAAATTTGGTAGCTAAAACAGTAGCATTTTATTCCGGCCTTCATAAGACGTGATCTTACGCGAACGGCCATCACCTAATTGATGTATACATTTTACTCGACGCTAGATTTTTATTGACATCGCCGCGAAGGTAAGCAGGTAAGGTTGTCGCACCGCCGGCCGTGGCAGTGAACTTGCTTTCTTCGACTGCCACGGCCCTCGCCCCGCGCCTGTGAAACCGTTCCATCAATATAACGCCACAAGCTACGCATTACTTAATAACTTTTACTATTAATTGAATTAATGCTTTTAAAATAAAACAAGCACTTATGCCTTGACTTTTTTATTCTAAATGACGTCCGAAAATGTCAATTGTCTAACGCCTAGCAGTTAAAAATAATAATCGCAATACAATCTTCTAGGCCCCAAATTTCTGTATCTGTTACGTGATTTTCTTCACAGATAGGCGATCAGCCCTCTGTGCCTGAGACGCTGTCGACTTGTTTGAGGCATACCGGTTTCTTCGCAATGCTTTCCTTCACCGTACGAGGGAGTCTTAAATGCGGACATAAACAGAAAGACCATTAGTAAAACTGGGGATCGAACCTACGACCTCAGGGATAAGAGTCGCACTCCTAAGTTGAGTTTTAAAAACAGAACGTTACAAAAATAAACAAAGTATAAATTGGCTTACTAAACCTGACTTTTTTTTATAGGACAGGGAGGCAAACGAGCCTACAGAATGCCCAAAAAGGGCAAACATCGCAGCCCATGGATAAATTGTACCCACATTTTAAACACCCAATTTAAAATGACAGTCTAATGGCCCTATAACGGTATAGGTACTGACGAATGTCGACCATTTTTGTGTCTAAGACATTTCGGATTTCTCACGCTACGCAAGAAAACTCCACAATTGCACACTGGAGTGAAATCATAATCTCAGGGTTATCACAAGTTAACACTTTGTTGCATAGTATTATTTATAAAACAAAATGTTTTTTCTTAAACATTCAACAATAACAACAAAGAAAAGAAACATCAAGTCGTTCGTATTTTAGAAAACAAATTACATCAAGGATCATTTTACAGAATTAAACTAGGTTTATAGGTACTAAATAATAAACTGGTATAAACTGAATTATAAAGTTACAGTAGATCTTGTTACTGACAATTTACTATACAGCGGAAACAGCGAAAAACCGGAAATCTCTGTTGATACAAAATGTACTCCGGACATGGAACTAACCGGAACCGGTAGTTTCACAGATAACATAATGTACAATTGCGCAAGGGGTCATGGATTGTGTAAGAATTAATTTTAAATACATTAAATATATGAAATAAATTTACATATTTCCCTTTTTAACGAGTTTTTAATTATATTTATTAATATTTTTCTTATAAATAACAACAATCAGTGTTTAATTTATATGAATAATAGTTACGTGAAACAGGATATACTGATTAAATCTCTTTAAGCAAACTTAATAAAGGAAAAGTTTACAAAAATTAATATACATATGTGAGACTTGAACATTATAGTAAAATACACACAAAGAGTTATATATGAGAACTAATAATTTAAACTCGAGAATAAAGAAGACTAAAATTATATTCGATTATTATTATTATATCGTTATATAAAGATTTGAAAATTTAAGATAAGTTTTTGTTAAAATATTACGAGTACAATTTCAGGTTTGGTTTAAACCTTTTATTAAAATTAATAACAAAATAAAGATATATAATATTCATTATGTATAAGGCTTGATAAAATTCAATTCAAAACTATTTTTTTATTACCTACATTTTATTTTAATTATCACTTTCAGAGCGGATATATTAAAATGTATTGAAACCGTAATTACCTATTGACGCGTATTACAACAACAAAGGTCGCTTAATTACAAGGTTTCGGCGATCTACATATTAAAATCTACATTTAATGATTTATATCCAAATTAACGCTAAAATCATCAAGCAAAAATACTACCTGTTAATTGTCTCGATTAAAACTTACTGCGTATTTGCGTAATTTCTAAATAACCTTGGGATTGCGTGGTAGGAACTCAACATCGTCGTTCATGCCCAAAGTTTAAAATCAGCAGAGTTTTCCAAATTCCGTCTGCAAAAACCAACCTAGGAATTCAGGCACCTCTCATTCGAATTCTTTACGAATATAACGGAATAAACAGTGATTATCCGGAGCTATATTCGGTGTCAATAATCAATTTTAAAAAAATTATTGCAAGTGCCTATCTCATACCTAATCCGCTGTTCTTTTGATAATTTGATTGTATTATATTTTATGGAACGTTTCTGTTTACCATAATTGTTATATATTTTAGAAAGCTTGTAATATATACTGTAGATATAGCATTATAAATAATGTGGTGAACTTGAATGAATAAATAAACATGGGTTTGGCAGTTTGTAGTCAAGTTTGTAAGCGATCATGAGACCAAAAATTCACTGTAACGATTTATGGGAAATATATAAATATATATATATATATATCTGCGTACTTATACACTATAAAACTGGGAACATGACATGGCAATAGAACATTACTATTGTAATTCAAAATTTAATATAAAGAAGAAATATATTTAATCTTTACAATAACTAACCTTAAAATATAATAACCAACATATATTAAAAGGAGTCCCTATAGACACGGTTCCGAACATACTGGCAGCGTTCCCCCTTTGAATAGCTAGACTAATTCTTTGTCCGAGGTAGCTGCCAGCTTGTCGGGCTTCTGTGATGTCGACTAACCTTTTTGCTATTACCTTAAAAAGCCTTATAGAAGAAATATATTAAATTTTGAATTGCATAATTGAATTAACATTTGTATATTTAATCTAATTTATTTTATTTTTATTGTATCATTTCTCGTCACTTTTATCATTAAAATGTTTATCTTTAAATGTTGTGCACACTTGTACGTTGTGTGTTCTCTTTAAGTGTATGTTTCGTTAGTGTTCCTTTTAAAGTAAAAAAAAAAAAATATTCATAATAATTGCTGTTTACATACAACAATTATGCCCAAGAACATTATGCTCGTAATATGCAGTGTGATATAATAACATAACGTATCGTAACCTACATAACAAGCTAGATAATTACGAATGGAAATATAAGAGTTAATTCTTTTATGACTTCTTCATCACTCAGTTAATAATAACTTAGCACTTAAAATTTATGTACATGGATATTTTCTTTTTAGGATTGTCTATGCCTGATACAACACTTTAGGTCTTTCTTTAGGCGATGTAATGGCTTTCTCACTTTTCCACCACCATTTGAACAATACATAGACAAATACATTGCTAGAAACCTGTACGAGGATTTGAATTACGGCTTTGACTCAGGGTTGGGAATATTCTCGTATCACTGTGTTTGTAATTAAACTCCTCCGAAATGGCTCGACCGATTTTCGTGAAATTTTGTGTGCATATCGGTTAGGTCTGCGAATCGGACAAAATCTATTTTTAATCCCCCTAAATGCCAAGGGTGGTCCAGGTCAAATTTTTTTTTGACAAAAAGTTTTGTTTTTATTTTTAATGATACAGCATACAAAAAACAGCATAATAAAATAATATAAATAGGTATAGTGAAAATTAAGGGTTGTATTCCTTAATTTTCACTCTTTGTAATCAACTCTTGATCGTAATCAACCCCTATTTTTTATTATAGTAGAAAACAAAACAACGTTTGCCGGGTCAGCTAGTTTTTTTATAAAACAGGGGGCAAACAGACCCCTCATCGGATGTTAAGTGACACCGCTGCATGGACACTGCGAAAGGGCTCGGGATTCAATACGTTTGTAATGCTTAGAGTTTAGGCTTAGAATCCTACTTCCGGGTGCTCATCCCGCTGCGCGACCTAGCCTCCCGTTATCAACGAGCCCGTTACGTGACGCGCCTGACCCGGATCCGACGCGACGCACACCTTAGAAAAACGCATGTCTCATCCATGTACTGTTTTCAGAGAAATAGCGGAAAATATTGATACGGATTTAGGATATTCCGTACATCAGAGATTTAAATGTATTTGTAAAACATTTAAGTGATCATAAACTGTTTACTAAATGCTACGAAACAGTTTTTTTTTCTCGTCACTGGACAGATAGGAGAGTAGCTCCTATCATACGCATTCGTGTTACGTGTCTCCCGAGATAAATATGCCCCGGTGAGCTGGGTGCAATTGCTTGCGAGACCCGTTCTTTCATTTTTGTTTTCCTCCTTCAGATATTTAATAATTTTTTTGCAGAACCGTTTCAGGCACGGCCTGTGCTTGGGTAACATGTCCTGTAGGCCGTTACAGTCTACTGTAAGTTTTTTGCTCCAGGTCGTGCCTGGACGGTACTATTAAACTGTGTTAGGTAAATATCGAAAACATTGTCAAAATAAAACTAAGCTGGGCTTTTTACATCGTAGACAGAGGAAAATACTTAGGAGTTTCAGCAAAATGACCGAAAATATTGTAAAAAATTTTATATTAATAAAATTTATTTTTTTGTATAAGATCTGTTTATGAATAATGAACTGTAACAAGCAATTGCTTATTATAAGAACCATAGTTCATGAAGAAAATATGATTGGCAAACATTTACTATATTAACTAATCCGTTAGATATCTAACAATTCTTAATAAAATTAACAATATAAAAATGACAACCGCAATAGACGTAATTAAAATCGCAAGTGGAGTGCAAGTGGTACCGCTATGTCGGTGACACTTAGCAAGCAGGCTGGAAGGCAATTTTCCGTGAAAAATGTCGCGGCTCCATGCTCAAGATAAAAGCTAACTGGGTGAATACCGCATCTAATTATATATTAATCAGCAAAAACAGTGAATAATTGCGATAGTGATGTACCTTTTAGCGTTATAGTAAAGTCAACCTAACATGGAATGTAAAGTTTTTAAGAAGTATACAACGAGTATTAAAAATAGGAGGTAAATATGAAATTACAAATCCTGAAAACACGTCAATAATACTATAAAATAGATCTTTTAAAAATTACCTAGATGTTGAATTGAAAACCAAGAAAAATCAAGGAACGGTGAGTATAGGCAAAACTATCGGTAATAAACGCTATATTAAAACTAAACCCAATACAATTCTTAAAATGTTTATACTAGTGTAAGGACATGTTCAAATTTTGGTAAAAAAAATTGTTGACGCGAGTACTAGACATTTAAGTGCATATAAACCATATTTAAATTACTATTTATATC